CTGCCAGACTGGCAAGCACAGAATATATTATAAACATAAAGTAAAACTATACATTCGTTGCCATTAGCAGTAACTTTAGATTCACACATACAGACTGAACACATTCACATATCTCACAGTAAATAATTCCCATTATCACTCAGGTGTTCCATTGACTTCCAACCATGTCCTTTCCTATGCATTTCTAACCATTATAATATTTAGAGGTTCCTAACTATCGGATCTGGTTTGAAACTTTCCCAGTATTTAGTAGTGCTCAGATTTGGGATTTGATTGCAGCATATTTCTAAGTAACAGGAACCATACTGTGAAATTATTTACACACTTCAGTGCCTCATTGCCACATAGTGCACGCACAAGCAACCAGCTAGACTTCCATAATGAATTAAACAAAACTGCACAGGAAATCACAGCAACTATGTCCTCAGATGGGAAAAGTCAACCTGCAAAACCAATCTGGAAGAGCTAGCTCTATGAAGAATTAACACAGTTAGGCCCTTGCCACATATTACATATCTAATGCAATAAATTTAGACTGGCCACACATGCAAAGTAATTATTATGCCATAAAAATATCCATCCAGCTATAAAAAGCCAACCAGCTACAAAGTTAGTGCTTGAAAATGTGCAACAACTTCATAGCTGGTTTCTTTCCAGCTTTAATTTAAACACATGGCATGGCCCCTAGGGTCCAGAGGAGTCCAGTGGAGTTACCCCATCTGTGGAAAAGATCCCATCGTGCAGGACTGGCCCCCTAACTGGCAGTTATTTCCTCAGGTTAGAACAAGACAACAGAGACACTATTACAAACTAAACTAAGGTATGAATTCAAAGTATAGCAGCTATTCCACACTAATACCTATGTGGACATTTATTCCACACTGACTGCCCTATTTTGTAGGGCCCATTTTTCATTTCCTAGAATGGACTACACTAACCTACAAAAAGGCACTCTTATGAAAAATATACGTCCACTGGGGAGCTTGCAGGCATCAGTTATTCAGGGCTACTCCTCTGTGTAGACAAGCCCTTAGCCTTTGTGCCAAACTCGAAGAACCACAGCCTTGGAAAGACCTAAGAACTCTATCATAGTTTTAGAATTATATCAACTCCTTGCAAAACTGTTTTATAGCTAGAGAAAAGATGACATTTATAAAATATGAAAGAAATGAGATCTAGCAGATATAACCAGAACCATAGACAGAAAGGGTACAACAATACCACTGAAATAACTCTAATATAGAAAGACAAATGACCTCATCAATTATACAGGGAAAATAATTTTTATACTTGCTACCTATTTACTGCTCTATCTAATTCTCCCCATTGTAAATTCTCTAATCTTTCATCTTGATCAGATGTAACGTCATATTCAACATTAGTCAAAAATCCTGAACAAGAAGTGTCTCTACCATTTCTCCAGTCATGGGCAAAATTGAACACAATGTCTAACAGCAATGTGAGGGTGCAGGCAGAAGTAACTTTTGAACATTTTAAGTGTAACAGGCTTGAAATATTTTTTAAAGGTTTAGTTTCTGCCATGGGACATGTGTTCAGCCCCTGTGGTGCCCCCTGGCTAGAACACTTCAAAATTCTTAAGCCTGGGAGCATTACAGGAAGCTTCACCGACCTGGCATCCCAAGTGCCAGAGTAGCCAGGACATAGGAGTGGGACCCAAATGCTAGGCAGTCTGACAGGCTGCCAGTCATACCTGTGAGTGCCCTGTCTTTCTGCAGACATAAAAAGAGGTGAAATACTTCAAAACAGAACCTTATTTCAAAAGGGGTAATATTTTGGAGCAGCTTCAGCTGCTTTTGGAACATTTCAAAGGTCACATGCTTTTATGAAGCTGACCCTTTGAAGCATTTCAAAGGTGTTTGACATGTTTAAATGTTACTTCTGTTTGCACCTGGAATGTTATTTCCTTCCTGCTTAGGTTCCATTCAAGTTCCATCAGATCCCCATATAAAAAGTTTGGGGATTTTTAATATATAGTTAAATAGAAGCCATTCTCCAAGCTAAAAATGAATTCCAGAAAAAATGTAGTTTAGTTTTCATGGTTCAGTTCTTTGCTTACTTGATGGTATGTATCACAGCCATATTCTATCAGGCCCCTTAGCCAGGTGATGCTCTGTTCACCTCTTCTTCTCCATAGCAGAGTCTCTTCACTATCACCTTCCTTTTTCATATAAACATTTAATATTCCAGTCCCAGCTCCAAACATATTATAGAAAAATGTTAAGCACTGTTTTCCCGAAATCCCTCTTAATGATCTTGAAGTCAAACGTGCCTTCTGTCCATACATCATGTTGGATGCCTCAATATACATGTAGTAGCCTGGAAAGGAAAAAGACAAAAAGGATCAAATATTAGTAAAATAAAATGGTTCTTGCATTCAGTCTGCCCTCTAATAAGAATCTCATGCATGAAACATGTTTTAATTAATGAGTGTCCAAACTCATAATACAGTTACAAAGGGATAGCTCTTGCTGATATATAGTGGAACACCATAATGTGAATAATAATAAATTAATGAATCTCAAAAAACCTGTTTTTGTGTAATTCATTCAAACCAAATGGAAAATGTATATGTATATTCAAATAATCTATCTTGGATGCTGATAATGGTATATCACAGGACAGCAATAAAAGCCTGAAGTTAGTCAATACATCTCAGAGACAGGTTGCATATTTTTAAATTATACACTGGTTTAAATATTTCTCTGTTCAGGGGAGTTGTACTGATGGAAATGAGTAGAGATTTTTTTTCCTTTTTAGTATACTTTACCATAAGGAATACCAATTTACATCAAAGACACAACCTCTAATAATTCAATAAAGTCATGAATTTAACATGCTAAAATACGGACCAAATTATTCCCTCAGATATATCAACAGGGCTTCAACTGATTTCAGGTGTTAAGTGAGGCAGTGTCACTAATCTGAAGGTTTACTGGGTTTAGATTATGAATTTGTATGGAATGGTTTGGATAGGGATGATCCCGTCTCAGGGAGTGGGGGTTGGACTAATTGACCTCTGGAAGTCCCTCCCCGCTCTATTTCTCCAGGATTCTATGATTCTGGAGCTGAGTGGTAGTTTCATGGATATACAAAAGGGCAAAACTAAGGGCTATGATTAGAACTGATGCTTTTAATACATCAAATGAATAAAAATAAGTCTTTGCCACAAAAGATATCAATCACGATTCAGCTTCCACAAATAAGACAAGATACAAGTCAAGAGAAGTGGTTGATCAGAATGCATGAAAGATTTATGCTCTGAATTCTGAATTGTGAGGAAAATGGTTATTAATTGGTAGAAGACAAATGATTCAAATTACTTTTCCTCTGAGGGTCATCACTCAGCTATTTCAAGCTGGAGCACACTGATATATCAGTAGAATGGGAAACATCCCAATGTCCCATCTGTTATGCATGGCAACTGTTTGTATCTGGAGGCATGCACTCCATCAGTAACAAGTAACTTCAAATTTTGCAGCAGCTGTTCCTATGCTCCCACTGTGCCCTCCTTGTCATGTTGGCAAGCAAGAGCTGCCCTTGCACCACTATGAGTAACAGAGTTTACATCACTCTTGGGAGAGACAGAGAATTCTTAAGGATCAGTGAGACAGAAGAAGAGTGAGGAATGGCAGGAACAGCTGGTCCATGCTAGGGATGCCTTTGATGATGTCCAGCACCCTATTATCTAAAATCATTCTGAAGAATTCCTCTGTGGCCAAAATTATTTCTTTGGTGAGGAGAAAGAACAGGAGGGAAATGGAGGGTGGGAGGAATGAGGTATATCTACAGCCACTGATCTTCAAACAAGGGTTCATTCCCTGTAATCTGTTAGAGGAAAGCCCCTAGGCTATTTATACAGAACTAAATGCATGCAGTAGCTGCAAAGATTTTAAACTGCCACTATGCTTAAAAGTTATTTTTGAAGTAAAAATCCAAACTGGTCATTACAGTAATGCAGTATAATAAAACAGAAGTCCTTGGTTTTAGTTTGAGAGCCAAATCAAGTTATAAATTAGTTGGAATGACTCAATTCAATCTAAGTTTCATTTACGTATAAATTCGGTAGCACATTTTCATGCACTGTATCTGTGAGATAAATTAATATAATTTCAGAAAATATTTTCTTGTCACAGCATCAAGACTAAGAGGCCCAAAATATTCCTCCTCTCAGTTGCTTTGAAAGTCAGAGCACCAGTCTCTTAGCTGCCTAAATGGTTACAATTACACAAAGTGGCACTAGATCTGAATTAAATGTCTGCTTCAAAGTTTAAGAGCACCCTAAAAACAGCACACACATTCCCTAAGGCAGAAAATTTCTCCAATTGCTCCTTCAACAAGCAAAGGGGTTCCAGTTTTGAGAATATGGATTATATAGGCTATTTGAAAAAGTAAAACTCTAGATGATACCATGATGATGCCATGCTTTGAAAAGAAAAACAAACAGCAACAAATCTGTGCCTGACTTTCTTTATGAAATACAACCTGGTTGTGAACCAAAACAATCCTGGAAATTTTAATTTGATGCAGTGTTGTCTTACTATGTGCAGAAAGGGAATAACATACCCCATAATAAAATCGACATATTCTGCAAACAGTGGCATTTAGAAAAAAGAGTCAGTCAGTTGAATTTTTTAAAAAACTCACTAAAAAAATATTCCTGTGTCCTAACTGGGTACTTGCAAATCTAACTGATGCCAAAGAAATGGGCGTTAGAGATGGCAAAGACCTATTTGTATTAAGTCATCTAGTGCATCCCTTGCCAGTGAGAGACTGTTCCTTGTATTGCATTTTCTGCTTCTTTTCACAAGGTTTAATGGTCAAGCAACACAGTTTCCATCATTTGCCTTTTCGAGGCCATTCCACGTCTAAAAGATATCATCATTAGGAAATTTTTCCTGATATTCAGCCTAAAATTTTCCTTTGCTTAATTTAACAATAACAACTATATCTGGTCAAAATGTGTTCAATTTTATAATTGATTTGGCTATAGTTCTCATTTCCCATGTCATGGCAGGAATTCTTTAGAACATGAGAGCTTACTTATCCCTAAAGTTCATTAATATGTCTACCAGCAATCAACAGTCTATAATTGACTGCAGCAGAATATAATTGTTTTAAATAGTGAAAATTACATGTGAGGATGAAACATTTCTAAGTGCACTCTTAGTTCTGTACTCAGAGCTTTGACTATGTAGAATCCATTTACAGAAAGCTAAAGCACTGTAAAGTCAAGAATATTTCCCTCTTTTATTCACTCCTCATTCATTTCCTGCATTAACAAAATCCTTCCCAGAATGTAATTACTGGAGGAGCTGTATCAGGGAATAGAAAAGCATTGTTCTGCCAAGCATCTGCCCGTTTGTGTACATTAGCAATTTAGACAAGCTGTGGTTAGGAAGAAGGCAAAGGCCTTTGGCATTTTGTTAAGAAGCAACAAAACTGTTTTTCAGGTTCCTTCCAACTCAGCTGAGTAAGACCTGCATACAAAAATGAAACAATCATGTCTAAAATGTTAGCATGGTTTATATTCAGCTACAGCCAAATAATCTCTAATAAGCCATTTTGGAATGTTTAATGATACAAATTGTGTTATAATTAGGTTAAAGTAAACATCTGTTCACCATACTTATTCAAACCATTATAACTAAGCTCAGCTTATTATAAGAAGCTATACTATGAGAGGTGAACTTTTTCCTTGTATAACAGGACCAATACAAAGCACTATATGGCTAGGTACAGTCATTCAAAAAACCTGAGGCAGAATCAATCTAAGCTGTGTGGTTTTCTGTAAGAGGCATAGTTTAGATCAGCAGCGAACACAACGCACATCTGACCTTTGGTGGGAGGTGGAGGAGGAAATCTTAGACTGTGTTCCATAATTTTTAAACCATTCTATGTGTGCCTCACTTCTGTTCTGTTATGGGTATAGGCCAGTTTTGTGTACCTAACTTCTATTCTGTTATAGGTATAGCCTGGTTTCTGATCACTCATACCAATAAAAGTGTAATGTCTGTACCTGGCCTGTACATTCTTTTAAGTTCACTTCAGCATTTTAAGAATGCAAGTGATATGTAGGTCATAGGCTTTCTGGTATGGGCATATTTTATTAATGATGCTGAAATTGGTGGCTTTATTACTAAATTTATTTCACTGATGTATCTGAACCTAGTAGGTGACCTATAATATTCAAGCAGCCAAGTTATAGAGCAAGCACATGGAAAGTTCTATTAATTAGGTTGCTTCCTTTGTGAATTGATGTCAGAAATGATCCAAAGTAGAATTGTCATCTTCTTTGGTATGAGCAAGCTTTAGCTTAGGCAGAAGGTAAACTGCTTCCTAATTTAGGTCTTTACATAAACATGAGAAAAACCCTTGTCAGTCTAATTTCCCTGATGACTTTAAACTGCAAAAGGATATCATACGTCCACTGTCTCCTAAATAGAGTTATATCCTGCATAATTAACTGCCTATCTAAATGTGAGAACTGTACTACCTACAGCTTTCTTTTCTTAAATATATAGCCAGTCCATGTATTCTGTTAACATCTAAATGGCATCCTTCTTCTCATATGCTGGTAATTTCTCTTTTATGCTCCAAATCTTTTGCATTGGAGGGGACAGAGATGTAGTATTTTGCATCTCATTTAACAAAGCAATATGCTTAATGTGGGTGAAGATACAATAAGATTTAGGTTGATACATTTGTCTCTTGTTTTAATCTTCTGAGATTAATCCTTCAGATTTTGGGAATATTATGAAGGAAGGAACAAAATGCCACATACAATGAAAACAGAATGGGCATGTCATGGATGAAGTGTTCTTCCAAAAACAATAGGGAGTTAAGGATAATTCCCTTGTATTTCTCAGACCCAAGCATCTATAAGATATCTCTTTTTGTTGCACTGGGGATGCATCTACATGTGCCCCTGACTGCACAGTACCCACAGGTCGTTTCCAACCCTACATCACTGTTGCAACGAGCTACATCACCATAGCTCATTGCTACGGTGACATAGCATGTCATGTAGATGAGCCTTGGGTATGTCTACACATGCATTTGATGTGGGAGCAATTTACTCGTGAGTAAACTACTTGTGAGTAAACACTCCTGGGCAGGTGTCTACACGTGCAGGGAAGCAGGAGCAGATTTGCTGATAATGGCAGCAAACTGTTCTGCTTCCTGGGGCCCTGAAATGGGCCCCTTCTGCCACCAGGGGGAATGGTGCTGGCCCAGGGGCTGGCAGGAAGCACTGGGCCAGGAGACAGCTGTCTCCTGCCTGTGGTTGGGCCACTGCACCATGCCCCAAGGGGCTGCCTGCTGCCATGGTGGAGACAATGTCCCCCCTGCCTCAGCAGCAGGGAGCTCCTGGCCCCAGCTCCTTGACTGCGGGGCAGGGGACCTGGAAAGAGCTGCAAGGGAAGGGAAGATCCCAGAGGTGACGCACTGTTAGCTGCCTCACTCGTCGATTGGGGCAAGGGGCTCGGACCTACATCACCACTGCAGCTCTTTCCAAGCCCAGTGCCTTGATCCCCCAATTGGGGCATGGGGCTGGGACCTGTGATCACTGTGTTAGCAGTCTGTTCCCTGCTCAGCTTTGAGATCACCATTCCCTGTATTGCCACTCCCCTGCCTGTTCCTTACCCAGCATCCCGATCATTGAGCTGGGCAGGGAACAAGCTCCCCAGCAGCAGGGAGCTCCCAGTACTAGGTCTGTGACCATGAAGATAACTATCTCCCAGCCCCCTCCCAACCCCCCCCGCCTCAGATTGCAATGGTGAAATGGAGGCTGGAAGATAAGGAACTTCCAGCCCCTGCTCCCTGATCATGATTTCAGAGTGGGGAGCTTGGAGCTCCCTGCTGCCGGAGGAAGGGAACATACTCGCCTCCTGGGCTTCTGTGGTGGAGCCCGCCCTGGCAGCAGGCAGCTCCCGGAGACAGGGAGCAATCTTGCACCCACTGCTGGCTGGCTGACCTGCAACAGATTTACTCCCGATCAGGTATCTACACTAGTACTACTGTGCAGTAAGTAATCACAAGTAAATTTGCTACTTGCATTTGCAGGAAGCAAAGTTACTCACAATTATGAGGTTTACTGTGCAGTAAGCATGTGCATGTGTAGATGCACACACTTACTGTGTAGTAAATTACACTACTGCACAGTAAAGCATCTCATGTAGACCACCCACTGACCCCAGTCTCCTCTATCTGCTTTGTATTAAGGAGTCCATGAAAGTGGACTCAGTGTCCTCCCAATATTCTGCCTCTTTCTTCTCAGTGGAAAACTCTCAGAGGCAACAGCTGGTCTTTGCATGGGATAAATCCTATGGAGCTACGTCTTCAGGACCTGTAAGGCTACAGCTGAACAGCATATAGACAGAAAATGAACTTTTGTGATTCTTCCTGTCCACAAGTTAGGACCAAGACTTGACATTTAGGGTCAAATTACCCCTTTCCCTGCATGCATCTATCATTAAAATCTGTGTGATATTAGTATGCACATACAAGTTGTGAATTTGGCCTTTTGGCTTTATAGCTTGCAATCACACAGTAGACCAGATTGTCACCTGGTAGTAAAGCAACTTAGCTCCACTGAGGTAACAACCATAGCTGTTTAGTAAAGTTATGCTCTTTTAAGCAGCCTTAAAATCCTTCCTTCTCCATTTATCTAAGGCCTGCTGGCAAAAGAAAAATAAGTTTAACAGTGTCAGGAAAAATGAAAATAAATACCTATTTTTTATGTTTTGAAAATGCCATTTTCTCTCTAGTAATTGCATTTCTAGATACGTGAGCATGCATTATGGTAACTAGACACTGTGCGTGTATGTGTAATTTAACATACCAAAAAGTCCAGTTCTTTTTCCCTGTAGAAAATGTCAAGCAGAGTGAGGGAGAGTATGCATTTCCACATATTGCTCTACTAAAATGTCCTAACAGCTTTTCTGAAGAACCACTTTTGAAAGTAGACAGGTCATTCAGACTCCCTTCCTATTCAGACACAGACCTGTCTCTATTATGAATGCTGGCCAACAAAGCTGTGAAATGTTTTGTCACTTGTGATTTGAACACGTCTGTCTTCTATGGCAACCAACTCTTTCACACAGTCCAAAGTCCAAATTATTAAAAGAAACATAATAGGAAACAGAGTCTTTCATTGGATTTTTTCAGTCTCATGAGTGATGTGATAAAGGAAACTGGCAGTAACCTCTATATTATAAAGTCTTATTTTGAGAAATTTAATAATTCAAATATAGTTATTCATTTGAAAATTAATCTTTTTATTCTGTGAAATCTTCAGTCACACAGGGCTTCAAGCTGAGCAGAAAAGAGACAAATCAAAATGATAACCCCTCTATGTGCAGGCACAGCTACCATTAATGGAATTTATGGAAGCACAGCTAGAGTGATAAACACACAGGTTTCAAACGTGAACAGAAAGACTATGTTTATCCCATGATTGTTAGCAGCAATATTGACTCATCTAAAAAGGAGAAATGATTGCTGTCCTAGACTTGGCTTTGTGTGCAAGAATGGGCAAAGGTGCTATTTAGTCCCTTAGCATTCAGAATAAAGGAGCAACCTAACAAGTGATGGCCCAGATCCCCAGACTGAAGAAAAGGTTGATGCTGCTTTACACTGTAATAAATACCCAACCAAATGGCAGATCACATAAATTCATCTCTGGCATATCAGTGTTTTCTGTTCTCAATATACTATGAAAGGATTTCATTTTAATGTACTTAACGTTTTGAAATGTGATTAAACAGTAATTACCACATTTAGCCAAATTCAAGATAATCTTGAATTTAAGGCAAACCTCCAATAATTAGATTCCATACATGGAGAATTATAAATTTGTTAGAATTTTCCATTATTAATTCTAATTATGGAAGGTTTGTCTTAAATTCATCCACCCCTGCACTGCTATGGCAGGGGAAACAGCAGCAGAGGGGCAAGCAGCATGACCCCTTCCTCCCCCACCCCTTGCCTCCCTGGTGCCTCCATCCCACTCTCAATGCTTACCACCCTCCCCTCCCCTGATGTCTGTCCCCTCAGGCATTTGCCCCGCCTGCTGCCTGCCCCTTGCCATTTGCCCCACTGCCTGACCCCCATGCCACCCACCCACTTACCCTATACAGCTGCTCTGGCAGCAACTCTGGATAAGGGCATGGAGCACAAAGTGGTTTCAGCCCCATCCAGGCAGCAGGAACAGTTCCAGGCTGGCCCAGGCCCTGGGCCCAAGTCAGGGCCAAAACTGGACTAGCAGCAGCTCCTCCACCATTGCACAGTTTCCCACACACTCCCCCCAGGCTGCACACAATATCCCCCACACTCCCCCCGCCATGCTCCTCCCATCTCATGCTCCCTTTCCCCACTGTGCAAGCTACCTCGAGCCACCAGCAACAGCTGTAGCCCTGGGTCTGGGTTGGGACCAGGGCCAGAGCTGCAGCAGCAATAAGACATTTCCTTTATGGGAAACAATGGATTTGTTTGCAAGCAACTGTAATTATCCAGATATACTCACTAATCTCCTTTTGTGTAAATTTTGTCTACCAGTTCAGAACCATGTCCAGGCAGATGATGCAAACATTAAACATCACATTCTAAAGCCTAGTTTATCTATAGGGTTAGGGACAGAAGTTACACATAAACCAATTTAAGTGATCAGAAACCAGTTCAAATCTGTAAGACAACAGAAGTTCAGTGCACTTAAACTGCTTTCAAAATAGCTGAAACTATAAGATAAACCAGGTTGGATGTAGTATCAGACTTAACTGATTTAGGTCAAACCAGTTTATGGAACTTCTGTCCCAGGCACCAGTGCCTTACAAGACTGTGCAGGGTTTTTGCTTGCTCATTTTCTCAGGTATCTATATTATTCAACAGTAATTCTGAATAAGCATAAGCAGGCTGCCTCACCTGCAAGCTTCTTCAGGCAGGCTTTGCTCTCCGAGAAGCTCCTCAGCTAGTTCACACAATAAAACAGGGTCTTTAAACAAACAAAACAAGCAAGGAAAACCCTGTTGTCCTGTAACAGACCCTGAGAAGGGACTCCTGTGGCTCTGCCCCCAGCACAGCAGTCTGGCCCCTCTGTACAGCTAGCTATTTAGGCCACAGCTTGCCTTTGACTCACAAGTATTCCTTCACGGTTTGCTCCCCTGCTGCTTTTTTCTCTAGGGTTTTTAAGCTCCCAGTGAGCCACACCTTTAACACCAGTCTCCCCACAGCTGCAGCTGCTCAGTAGGGCTGGTTGCCACCCTGTTACAGTCAGTAAAACATTTTTCTTTGCTGTAAGACATCACAAAACTGTTGCTCTCTGCTCAAAAATTCAACATGAAGTTTAATTCACTCACCTACCCCAGTAGTGTGGTCTCCTTTGGGTCCAGTGTAAGAAGTGGGAGTTTGACCCCTCCTCCTATGCCAACTGCTTCGGTTTCTCCTCTCCTGGGTGAATGCACATTCACCTTTTTCAAAAGTACATTCTCCAGGATAAGCTGGCAGTGTCTCTGCAATGAAAGAACAGAGAGTTACAAATCCATGTTCTTAGCTATGTGGATAGATAATTTACATACTTTATTTTGCTTATCCATCAATTTGATATCTATCTATCTTGATATATTGTAGTTACATATGGTGTACACAGTGTATACCAGATGGTTCCAGGTGTAAACAACAGATATAAACCCCACTCCTTTATAACGCTGGATCCTAGCGAGGATCTGAATTTCATATTTGGGGAGCTTTATTATTTAAAATATTCTCATTTAAAAGTAATATATGAATGTCCTTTTCGATAACCTAGCTGTTCAGATAATAGGCAGTCTGCTTGCTGTAGACCTTATCCTGCATAGACCTCTGCTAGTATATGTCTATCTACCAGCATGGTGTCCCAAGCAGACATAATAGGTCATGATGTACACAGGGATCTACATTAGCAGATCCTGCCTTCGGATCAGGGTCACTGCAGTTTGAAGTCAACTGGAAAAGATTAGGCCTGCCAAGACCTCTATTCAGGGTTCTGTCTTTTCTTTGCGTCAACTGGTAATATCACATACAGCCATAGTCAGAGCTCACACCCCTAAAATACTTTGAAACAACATTAATTGATACTGAAGGAACAGAGCATGCAGAAGGATGTAGAGGATGCCAAAGGAACCCAGAATTGAGAATCTATCAGGTAAGTAAAAAAAAGAAACGCCTTTCAAGCATTCTATATCAGTGATTTGTTCCTGAATATTTCACCTTGTACTATCCCACTAGATTCTCCACACTCTCTGGCCCTTAATATTGTCCACCTTTGTGCTGGAATCAGCTATGAGTCCCAATGCATGAGCTAAATGATCAACTGCTATCGCAGGTTTCCAAAAGGAAACTTTTACAAGATCTAATCCCAGCAGTCATGGATGGTGTCCAAGGATCAATAAATGGATGAATTGTGGAATTTTACTCAGGAGACATAATACCAGAGGTTGGCATGAGACCCCCAAGAATGGACAGTCCCCAATTGACATACAATATAAAAATACGTATATCTACAGAATAATGTGTAGCTTGAATTTTAACATTATCCTCCTCCAAGCTCCTTTTCCCCCCTTTTACTCACCTTGCAATAGAGAGAAGTAGAAGTAGGGCATGCCCTGCTTCTAGCCCATCTAAACTAATAACCACATTCTCCTCATTCCAGGTCAAAATAGCTTAGGAATAAGGAGAAATCATGCCAAATACCAGTAAAAAGCTTGATGCTGATTTTTATTGCAAAAGACATTTTAAGAATGTCTACTCAAGTTTTAGCTTTGGAATAAACTTCCACTGGAGTCAAAAGAGTTAATCAGGATTCACTCCAGAGTCTTTGAGAATAAAATTTGTCCCTCACTACAAAGCAGCAAAACCAGAAGTTTTGGGTTAGAAAACATGAGAGTACTGTAGCTAGTTATGAAATGAAAAGTATCAGTTAGATTAAGCCAATGGCCATACAAGGAGGACTTTTGTATCACAGGATGAGACTGGACAGTAGCTGGAGCAGAACAAAATGTATTAGGAATGTCAAATGCACATCGTCTTACCAGCAGCTTGGCAGCTTCCCAGGCTCACTGATATATCATCCAGAGCCACATGCCCACAGTCCCAAAAGCTTTTGCACCAGCTCACAAACACAACCTGTAGTATATGAAGACCACAACTCAGAATTGTTTTTTCAATAAAAGCTAGCACCATATGTAGTCCACAATTACAGTCTTTTCTTTGCACATTAGGAATGTAAAAATTTTAAGTATAAAAGAAGTTTTTATAATTTTGTCAAAGCTTCAGTGTCATTTAAAACTTCATATTCATTCATAGTAAATTACTATATTTTATTTTATAGCAAATAATTTATCTCTACATACAGTTACCATTTTATTAGGGTACACAATTTTACTAGCATAAGAGAAAGAAAATTATCAAGGGTTTGACTCTATATAATCTTTTTGCAATACAAAATCAACTGGCTCAAAAAAGTAGCATAATATGTCTCAACCTTGCTACCTCTCTCAGAATTTAGCCCTAACTGTACAATAGTGAAAACAAACATGAGAGAATAATTCCCTGAAAAGACCCAGGCATACTCTACCTTGGGGACTACAGAGATGAAATTGCTGAATACAGATTACATGAAGTCATAACACTGAATAATAGCACAAGGCTGGAGAAGCTAATCATAAGCCATATAGTGTCCATCTGGGTGCTGAGAAATGTAAAAACAGGGTCCAAAACATCTTATTTAGCCAAGAATAAATTCTGTCATAGGAGATAAGGTTTTCAACTATGAAATCTGCAACCAATACACAGGACACAGAATGTAGAAAAATCACTTAAACCGTGAGGGAGAGTTTACTGCCCTTGGTCCAAGGTTGGCGCAGTTTGAATTAACTGAAAAGGAGTAAGGTTTATTAACTAAAACTTGTTACTGGGAAGCGGTACAGTGAATAATACAAATTGTGTGTCCAACCTTAACAAAAGGAATTTGCTGCCATCATTTTTGGGAAGCTTTCCAAAGCTATTTCTTTCTGACAAGATATAAGGTACTGGCTGAAGCCAGGATAAATTTCGCTCATGGCTGACTCACACTCCAGTGCAGGCTGCAAATCCTTCATCTACATATTTGAGGTTCAATGGTGACTTATAACTTTTGGCTCTTAGTGAAATGTTGTTATTGTATAAAAACCATGTAGAATTTTTAAATAATTTTTCATTGTCTTTAACAGGATCCGTCATGCCTCCTTAAACAGGGTTATGCCATATTGCTTCACTATGTATTACTTATTTAATGAGAATGAATTATGAATAAATGGATAACTACATTTAAACCTTTAGAGACTATATGAATTATGCTACTTGCACTGGGCAATTTTCACTGTTCAAAAGTATTGTACATTGAAACCACCAGTCCCAATACTACAGACTATTTATTTTGTAAACTGTTACAAACATACTTGAGGAATGTAGATAACATCCCTGCATGGTTTCCAGTAGGCCTGTGTGAATAGGGAAGTATTTGATTCTTATTTGCCTGATTCAGAGGACAGCGATTCAATTCAGAGATTTGGATCACTGTCCCGAATCAATTCGGCCAAATCAGCTTGGGAAGATTTGGCAACATTTGGTGATTCAGCCATAGAGGAATCACTGAAATACCTATAACTTTGTCATGTTTTGGCAGATTTGGATGAAAACAACAGGGATGGTAGGCCCTTCTGAGTGCATGAGGCCTGCCAGGTTTCAAGGAGATAAGTACAGGGGTTTCTGGAAAACTGTACATCAAGGTGCTGACAAGCAAAACTCATGACGTGTGTGACTGTGTGTGTGTTAAGGCACAGTGGGATGAAAACAGCCGGGATGGTAGCCTGTAACAAGGGACCTTCCTGGTGCTCAAGCAGAAACAGCTCACAAAAGGGACAGAAAAGCTGCAAACAGAGGCTTATATGCTGTTTCTACATCCCTCCCCAATGCTTAACCACTCTTTCTGTGAAAAAGTTATTTGTAATATTGACTCTAAGCTTCCCTTGATGCAATTCAAGGCTATTGTTCCTTACCTTAATATTGAGAATATTGTTACAGTCACAAAAATAGTCTATCCTTTCTGTACACTGGGCAGAAATGACAGCATTTGATATTTGCATTTTTTGACATTTGCATTCATTCATTCATTTACTTACATTTACGTTAATTTAGAGTTAAAATATTTCCCAGATTAATTTTTCCGTAAGACATCCCTGCTGAGCTATCACACGTATTGAGTGAGGAATAGGGAAAAAAGAACAAGTTTGTGTTCAGCTTAGGTTTGCTTTATTTAACATGACAAATGAACAATATATTAATTGCTTCATACTAGATAAACAAACTTTCATGGGTTTGCATGATGTCCTGGAGGTGAAATTGGAAAACATTACTAGATGCAACCAGTCATTGCCAGAATTACTGAAGCTAAAAAAGTGCTTTCTTGCTTTGCCTCTTTATTTTTTTCCAGCAATGGGAAATGCCCAGGGCATTTGTCTAGCATCTGTTTCCAAACTTTTGCATGAATATCTGGAAGCTTATTTGATTTATGTCCCAGTGTTTAACCAATTTCCTTGATCTACAGCATCAAAAAAGATCAATGTTAGATTCTTGTAATTCATCCTCCATGCTGTCAGTAACTGGTACAATAGAAGGCACCATATTCATATTAAACAGAAATTGCAAGAACTCAAGCAGTTTGTAATGCTGAACCCAAAGTTGCTAGCACAGTAGTCGTGTTTTTCACTCTGTCATTATGCAGAATTAGATTTTAACTCAGAAGTTATATTGGATTAGGGAGAATTTGCTCCTGATCCTTTCCTCTATCTTTTCTGCATATATACCAGGAAAACTGAGGATGGATTTTTTGTGTATTGCAGTCTATCTTCTGGAGCCCCAAATGGTACCCTGCTCTGGGTCCCTCTACCAAGGAGGATAAGAGGAAAGATTTGATTAGAAATTTGCAAAATAAGGTGCAAGAGGACCTGGAGAAAGGAACCCCACATGAAGAGAAGCAAATCCCTAAAAAATGGGGAGAAGGTATGCCCAGACCTTAATTCAAGCCAAAGATCTGTTTTTTCTTTCCTGTTTACCCCAGAAGGAAAAGGTTTGTTTCAGTTTGATAACTAGACCCCCAGCCAGAAGGAAAAGGGAGGCACTAGCTGAATCTGATGAAAGGAAGGTAAGCTGTTTTCATGCAGCTAGTTTAGTGCATAACTTTTTCATAAAATAAAATTCTAGGCCTGATTCTTCACTTAGTTACTGGTTTATGCTAGCTTCATTACCATAAAATAAATACATGTCATTAGTAGAGCAAGTGGAGAATTACACTGGCTATCTCCGTGCTCAGCTAGACAAAAAAAAAAAAAATTAAACACAAAATTCTTTTAAATGTAGTTAAATTCAACTGATGCAAAAGACTGCTTAATTCCAGCTTAAATCAGGCTTGCTCTGACTGCTTAAATCAATAGAAACTGACTTCACTAAATTAACTGAAATATACTAAGCAAACTTCAATAAAATAAGTGACTTAAACCAAAATAAGAATGCCCATGCAGTCTCTGCATCATTTAACTATATTGATTTAAAATAGGAGTAGTAGGCAACCGTCATTCCTTTTGGATCATGGTGTATGCATGAGAGATCACCCAGACCTTCAACACATATGCCTAGGCAGGAGTATAAAGGAGTGGAGGCTGCCAAGACCTTCTGTTCCTCCTTTAGAACATAAAGACAGAATCCAAAAGCCCGACTGAGTCCAGGTGTTCGGTGCCTAAGGCCTGCAGGTATGCACACCTCTGGGAATCATATACCACATGGCAGACAAGGTTTCTACCACTGAACCACAACAGCAAGTCAGCTGCAGATATACAGGTCGAGAGCAGAATTCTGCTCTGATTTAAAATAACCGTGTCACAACCCAAAAGGTGTGATTTTTATTTGTGTGTGCTTCGGCACTGCTAAATTGTCCCCGCTAAATTGCAAGCTTCCTTGCACGGTGGAGTTTTCTGCTGCAAAAGAGAATCCCGGTGCAAGGGAGAATTTCCCGCCGATTTGAAGCTTCCTTTGCAGGGTGCATTTCTTTGTTGCAGCACAGAAATGCTCGTTGCAAAGAGTTCCCGCCATTTGTATGTAGATTTGGGTCCCATTATTGGCCAGTTCTAAATTATTCACACGTGGCGGCTAGTGATTGGCTTGCTAGCCGTATAAGAGGCTTGAGTGGTTTCCGCCCAAGTTGGAGGACTCCACGAACAAGGGAGGAGGAGACTTCACGCTGTGTGAAGATCTCTAAGCGCTGCGGATCCTCACGGACCCAGTGCATTTGAAGCAGGCTACGGAGATCTGATCAATCTCTAGCCGCTCCCCGTCGCCGATAGAATTCCTAGACGTACCCC